AAATTTTTTTAAAAAGAAAGAAAAGTAGGATGGAGCTTCACTGTTACTGCAAGAGGAGTAACAGATGTGCTCCTCATAGCCAGCCTGTGATAAAGGCCAAGAGTTAGAGGCTCTGGAGTTAGTCTCTTGCATTGGAATTCCACTTACCATTTGATTTTGGGTAACTACGTAAACTCTCAAATCTTTTCTCTGTAAGACAGGGATAAACATAGTCTCTACCTCATAGGGCTGTACTGAAGATGAAAAGAAATAATAAATATAAAGTGATAATAATAGCTAATGTTTCTTAAGCATTTACTTTATGTGGCAGGCTGAATATTGGCCCCAAATATATCCAGGTAGTAATTCTTGCAATCTGTGAATGTTACTTTACATGGCAAATGGACTTTGTAGGTGTAATTAAATTAAGGATCTTGAGATGGGGAAATTATCCTGGATTAACTTGGTGGATCTTACATGTAATTACAGGTATCCTTATAAGAGAGTGGCAGAGGGAGCTTTTACTATCAACGTGAGGACTGAAGCAAGATGCTACACTCCTGGCTTTCAAGATGAAGGAAGGTGCCACCAAAGATGCAGCTCTAGATGCTAGAAAAGATGAGGAAATAGATTCTTCCCTCGAGCCTTGAGAGGGAGCATGGCATTACGGACATCTTGATTTTGGCCCAGTGAAACTGATTTCAGATTTCTGTCCTTCAGAACAGTTAAGAGAATAAATGTGTGCTGGTGTTTTCCCAGTTTTATTGAGATATAATTGACATATAACATTGTATAAGTTTAAGGTGTGCAATGTGATGATTTGATACATATATATATTGTGAGATGTTTACACAATAAGGTTGTTAACACACCTTTTAGCTCATATAATTACCATTGTGTTGTTATTATGGTGAGAATATCAGAACTCTACTCTCATAGCAACTTCCAAGTATACAAATGTACTTGCTGTAGTCACCAAGCTGTACAGTAAAATCTCTAAAATGTACTCATTTTTTTAAAGGGGGTTGTAAAAATAATCACTTTTTCAATATTGTAGCTGTAGAAATGAAGTACATTTTCTTTAGGAAATGAAAAAAAAAAAAGAAGAAGAAGAAAATGCCACTTAACATCATTGGTACACCGGGATAGGCCAGCAGGAAGAAATACTGATAAGCTTGTCTCTTTGATACCAAGGAGATATTCTAGTCCAAGATTTAATATGCTTCCTATGTTTTCATTAGATATTCCTTTTTTGCTACTTTTCATCCTTTTCCATATTTCATATCAAAGGATTGGTACAGCCTTTAAAACTTCATTAACAGGAGCAAATTCTTTTCAAAAAGCACTTTAACCCATCAGATAGCCCAGGAGTTTCACTCTCATGAGTACTCTAGCCATGAAAAAACTCAGCAGGACACAGATGAATCTAATGAATAGAAGAAGAAATCTATTGAGTTTTATAATGTTTGGTGCACTGGACAGGTCCAGGACTGTGAAACCTAAACTTCCCATTGTAAACAGGAAGCTAGATGCATATCCTTCCATAGTATATTGTCCATTTACTCTGTAGACCAGGAAAGCTACTGGTCTCTGATGTCCATGTTCATCAGTCACAGAACCAACACTTGGAGGTTCGACAATAACATCATATTCTTCCAGAGATGAGGAAGTAAGATGCCACCATCAGAGCATACACCATCATGGCCGATGGCATGTGCACCCAGGGCAGCTTCTTCAGCTTCAAGTTGGGGAATTCAAGCACTAAGAACAGGACTGAGTACACACTCTCCATGTCAGTGGCAGCAGGGGAAGCTCTTGGCCTGGAGCCTCACGTGCCACCAGGAAACAGATCTGCCCCTCAAAACTTACTCATTTTGATTTGCATTATGTTGAACCATCCTTGCATCCAAGGATTAATCTCAGTTGGTTACAGTGAATGATCCTGTTAATGTGCTGTTGAATTTGGTTTGCTAGTATTTTGTTGAGAATTTGTGCATCTGTATTCATCTGGTCTGTAGGGGTATTGGTCTGTAGTTTTCACATCCCGTAATGTCTTTATCTGGCTTGGGCATCAGGGTAATGTAGGCCTCATAAAATGAATTTGGGAGTGTTTCCTCTTCTTCAAGGTTTTGGAAGAGTTTAAGAAGAAATGGTGTTGATTCTTTATTAAATGTCTGGAAGAATTCAGACCTGTGAAGCCATCTGGTCCTAAGCTTTTCTTTGTTGGAAGGTTTTTGATTACTGATTCAATCTCATATTATTGGTTTGTTCAGATTGTCTGTCTTCATGATTCAGACTAGGCTGTATGTTTCTAGGAATTTATCCATTTCTTCTACATTGTCAAATTTATTGGGTTTTAATTTTTTTCTTTTTTATGTTTTTTAAAAATTTGGTGTATAACTATTCATAGTATTCTCATGATCCTTGTATTTCTGTGATATCAGTTGTAATGTCTCTTTACAAGGTAATGTCTCATTTTTCTTTTATAATTTTATTTATTTGAGTCCTCTCACTTTTTTCTTGGCAAGTCTAGCTAAAATTTTGTCAGTCTTGTTTATCTTTTAGAAAAAACAACTCTTATTTTTGTTGATTTTTTCTTTTTGTTTAAGATTAATTGGTTGATTGATTGATTGATTTTAATGGCAGTACTGGGAATTAAACCCAGGACCTTGTGTATGTGAAGCATGTGCTCTACCACTGAGCTATATCTATATCCTCCTCCATTTTGTTGATTTTTTAAATTGATTTTCTGTTCTCTAGTTACTTATTTCTGTTCTGATCTTTGTTATCACCTCCCTTTTGCTTACTTTGGACTTAGTCTGTTTTTCATTTTCTAGTTCTTTGGGGTATAAAGTTAGATTGTTTATTTGAGATCTTTCTTTTTTCTCAGTGTAGGCATTTATGGCTATAAACTTTACTCTTAGCACTGCTTTTGATGCATCTCATAAGTTTTGGTATGTTGTATTTCCATTTTTGTTTGTTTCCATTTATTTTTTCATTTCCTTTTTGATTTAATCTTTGATCCATTGGTTGTTCAGGACTGTTATTTAATTTCCACATATTTGTGAATTTTTCAGTTTACTCTTGCTATTGATTTATAGTTTCATACCACTGTGGTAGGAAAAGATAATTGGTATAGTTTCAGTCTTTATTAATCTGCTGAGACTCATTCTGTGACCTAACATATGATCTGTCCTGGAGAATGTTCAGTGTGTGCTGGAGATGAATGTGTATTCTGTTGCTGTTGGATGGATTGTTCTATATATGTCTGTTAAGTTCACTTGGTCTAAAATATGGCTCAAGTTCAGTGTTTCCTTATTGATTTTCTGTCTGGATAATCTATTCTTTGTTGAAAATGCAGTACTGAAGTCCTTTACTATTATTGTATTGTTGTCTATCCTTCCCTTCAGGTCTGTTCATATTTGCTTAATATATTCAGGTGCTCTAATAATTGGCATGTATATATTTGCAATTATATCCTCTTGATGAACTGACCTCTTTATCATTATATATTGGACTTCTTTGCCACTTATTATAGTTTTTGGTTCAAATTCTATTTCTTCTGATGAAAGTATAGCTACCCCTGCTCTCCTCATTTCCACTTACATGGAATATCTTTTTCCATCCCTTCACTTTGAGCCTATGTGTGTCCTTGAAGCTAATGTGAGTCTCTTATAGACAACATGTAGGTGGATCTTGTTTTTTCATCCATTCAGCCACTCTGTGCCTTTTTATTGTAGTATTTAACCCATTTTCACTTAAAATAATTATTGATAAGAGAGGACTTATGGTTGTCATCTTGTTCATTGTTTTCTGGCTGTTTTGCAGTTCCTTTCTTCCTTTCTTGCTATCTTCCTTTGTGAACTGACGTTTTTCCATAGTGGTATACTTTGATTCCCTTCTCTTTATCTTGTGTGTATCTTCTAAAGGTTTTTGTTTTTTCATTACCCTGAGGCTTACTTGAAACATCTTATAGCTATTACAGCCTATTTTAAGCTGATAACAACTTAACTTCAATTACATACAAAAACTCTAACTTTTTATTCCCATTTTATGTTTTGTTTTTCAATGCCACACTTTACATCTTTTATATTGTGTATCCATTAACAAACTATTGTACCCACAGGTATTTTTAATACTTTCATCCTTCAATCTTTATATTAAGTGGTCAAATACATCACCATATTACAGTATTAGAGTATTATGAATATAACTATATGCCTGCCTTTACCAGTATGATGTTTATTTTCATATGTTTTCTTGTTACTAGATAGCATCCTTTTATCTCAGCTTGAAGAACTCCTTTCAGCATTTCTACTAATAAGACAGGTCTACTGGTGATAAACTCTCTTTGGTAGCACCAGGTCTGGTGGTCATTGTGACTTACGGACTCAGGCCGTTGGTGTCCACATCATCGACAACTGCATGGCCCTTGGCAAGTGCTGTTGGGAGTCTGAAGAGACTGCAAGGGCTGTTGGGGTCTTCAGCACTGCCTCCAGATTCAGAAGCTAGGGACCAAGGTAAGCAGCAGTGGTGCCTGGTGGTGTGCACACACCAGCTGTGGGGGCCAGCTGCTGGTTCCTATAATGGCAGGGAATAGCTACAAACACATAGTGGGGGGACCAGGACAGGCAGCAAGGGCTAGGCCAACTGTGTACATACTGGCACCTGCACCTATGTGTACTACCGTGGCTGCTGGGTCTCACCAAGGGTGCATGGCAATGGAGCCCGACCGGAACTGGGCAAAGGGCAGGCAGGTACACAGCTGGAGGGGCTAACTGCTGGTGAGCGTTGTTGTGCAGGCCAGCAGCAGAAGACAGGGCCTGATCCAGGCCCGCAAGCAGCTGCAGGAGCCCACGCCATTGGTGTGTTCTCCCTTGGCTGCATTGTCTCCCCATGGACATTTACATAGGAGTGGAGTCTGGTGACAGGCATCAGGCCAGTGGCGACCAAGTACATAGCTGGAGAGGCTGTCCCCAAGCACACGCAGTGCTGGGATTCAGCCACAAAGGTTGAGTCTGGCATCTTGCACTGTCGCAGCTGCAGAGGCCTGGGCTGGCTGCCAGTGTGGTTCCTGAGCTCCAGTAAGCGAGGGAAAGGACTCAGGCAGCTGGCATTAGCAAATGCAACTACCCGTGGGAAAAAGCCAGTGAAATCTGCTAAGGGTCCACAGCAGCTATGCAGGCTGTGGGTTCCTTCAGTGTTGAAAGCTGCTGGGGTCACCTGCAGAGCAGGCTACTGGGAACTGTGGTTGTGCTAATTGCTTGACAACTACTGGTAGACCCTGCTTTGCCTTCTTGTCCCTAGCCATCTCTATACATCTCAGCTTTGCCAGTCTGAGTGGGGTGAAATTGAAGCAGGTCCTTCACGTAGTACCCCCAGAGGCTGAGGAAGCTGGTTGCTCAACCTGTTCTTTTCCTGGTGAGCTCTAGCTGCGGAGTTCTGTCTTACTGCTGAGCAATGCTAGCATGGGGGATAGGATGATGGAGGCCAAATGAAGATGTCTTCCTTCCCTTTTTGTGTGGTTATTTTCAAATTTTTTGTTCAACTGTGTTGCTGAAGTTTCTTAAGTGAACTCCACAGCTGTTTTTATTCCTGCACAGCTGTCAAATTATTGATCTTTGTAGAGGGATAGAGGCAGGAGTCTCCTACTCTGCCATCTCCCAAATTTGTGTTGTTTTAAGTTACTAAGTTTGCGGTAATTTATTAGAGCAGCCATGGTAA